TTTCTTTTCATTTTTGTCAATGTTTTATTTCAGATACCTACAGAACGTGCTGAAAATTTAATTTTGGCGTTCTGCGAGAAACTGGTAAAAGCACCTGGATACAAGCTTGGATTGGTTTGCTTAAAAGCGTAATACATCGTCAATTTTTTTATCAAATCAATACACAATGTATTATTCTTTAATATAACATGATATTTATATATATGTTTGTAGCTTATGGCTCTTATTCCAATCTCTTGCTGATGATTCACCAATGAGATACCATGTTTATTATCATTTGGTACAAATAGCCCGCAATGTTGATCAAGTAAAAGCCGTGTATAGTGGAATTGATCAATTGAAGCAACAATTTGCTTCATTTCCTCCATCAAATGAACAAATGCAAAAATTATTGCGTTTGTTGCATGAAGTTCTTTTAAGCTGCAAACAAGGGTAATCCTCTTTCATTTTCTGTACTTTCTAATATTGAAATTATTTCAAATACAAATATTTGGATATTATACATAGTATCTGTGTGTAATGGTTTAGAGAGCAAGCAGCAGCTGTCATGGTAGAATTGCTCGGAACTTATACAGCAGAGAACGCTTCAGCGGCTAGAGAAGATGCACAGCGTTGTATATTAGCTGCGTTAGCGGATCCAAATACATTTTTATTAGATCCGCTTTTGGCTTTGAAACCTGTAAGATTTTTAGAAGGCGAACTGATACACGATTTACTTCTTGTATTTGTACAAGATAAATTGCCAGCATATTTACATTTCTATCAACATCACAGAGAATTTGTCGAGCATCAACTTGGTATGTATCCTTGTTAGTAGTCTTAGTGTAGATAATAAAATATGAAATTTACATTCAAATGAAATAAAATTTATATACTTTTTTCTGCAGGATTAAATCATGAACAAAACATGAAGAAGATGAGGTTACTGACCTTTATGCAACTTGCAGAAACAAATCCAGAAATGTCTTTTGATACGATACAAGAGGAATTGCAGATCGATGAATCTGAAGTAGAAAGCTTCATAATTGATGGTAAGCTATTTTTATTCCAAGATTTTTATTTGCGATAAATGACAACAGAATAACACATCCTGTGTAAACGATACATAGTTTCCACTATTGTTTATTTAAGTGGCAACTGATTTTTAACAGGATATATTAAATGAATTGGTACTGACTTAGTAAAATTATATTTTCACTGAGTTATCGAGATGTTCAACAAATTTGTTGCTACTTAATAGACTGTTCTGTGATCTTGTATAATATTTTTATGAGATATAAATAATATTGTTTCGATCGTACACACTTGTTCCAGTTTTAAAAACCAAACTTGTGAGAGCGCGCATGGATCAGGCTGGCCATAAAGTATTAATTTCGAGCACAATGCATAGAACGTTTGGTCGACCGCAATGGATGCAGCTGCGAGATTTACTCGTATCATGGAAAGCTAATCTTTCAGCTGTACAAGATGGCATGAAGACCGTAGCCACTGCGCAAGTAGAACTTGCAACAAAGAATAAAGCTACCCTTGCCCACTGATAGCACCGAAAAATTCTCTAAATTCTCTCTATACATACATGATCATTTATCAAGAATACTGAGAAGTGAAAGTTAAAAGTTAATTTTTTTTCCAGAATACAACACAAATTTGTCGAGTCTATAAAAGCAATGCAGCTAAAAATTAATGATAACTTGTACCACAATATCACATTTGTGCAACAAAACTGTTAAATAGAAAATTTTTGCATAATTTTGAACATACATTTACATATTTAATATTCAAAAACTAAATTCGTTAATCACCTCATCTTTTTGTATCAAATTATTTCCAAATAAAATAAATGTGATTTAAATCTGTTTCAATATGTAGAGTATATTAAAACTTAGTTCAAGATGATTGAATTTTCTAATTTCACGCGTTTATATCATATTATTATATATAATATAATAATATCAAATTGGCTTGATTTCACAAAGGGTATAGAAATCAATGCAATACTGCAAACTCGATATTGAAAACAATGTTGAGAAATACATTTTTGATTCTACAAAACTATAATAATGTCCTTACAGATGTCTTATGATAAGTAAACTTGAATCAATAATATATGTTTGAACATATGATTTTCATTTTATTATTATTATTATTATTAAGTAGAATATGACTATATCATATTCAATAAAAAGTTTTTTCTGCACAGAGAACTGCATTAATATTTAATTAATTCAGTCAGTATATTAAAAAAATTTATTACAAAAAAGATATCAGTTATTTTATAACAAAATATATGATATTATAAAAGATATTTAATAATGATTTGCTTTAGACATTAATCTTTATATAAGAAATTACGATTTGAATTTTTTTTCTTTGTTATATTGACACTTGCTGTTTTTTTATCGCACATTAATTATATAATTTTTATCAAGTACATAACAGACACGTGCTTTGCGCGCTGCGTATTTAAATCCCATACATCTTTTAATAACATTTATACCAAATTACATTTAAACAAATTTTCACAATTTTTGATAAAAATAAATTTTCAAAAAAATGACGTTTTAATCGGCCATATTGAATCAGCCATTATTAAATAAAATCAAGATTTTTTAAAAAATAGTCACATAATTCATCTTTAAGATGAGTCCAGAAGGAAGTTGTATCTTTATTTTTCTGGAAGATATGAATTTTTAAACATTGGGGAAAAGAGACTTCAACGCAGGTAACATGGCAATTTTAAGATGGGATTTTTACTTATGTATAATTGACATTACTTCTGCATTTTTCAATGTTTTCATTTTTAATAAAATGAAAAAAAATATACTTACACAAATACGCACGCGCTCACACACACACACACACACACACAAATTTTGTAAGCTAAGTAATGTTAGTAGCAAAATATAGTTATTTACTCCTGAATGAACTGTGCTGCAATATGTCAGATTAATTTTATATCTTTAAATAAATAGTTAAAAAAATTAGTCTGTTGTATACTACGTCAGTATTTACAACAACCAGAATAAGTTAATTATAAAATAAAGAATCTGTTGTATTGACTATGATTGTATTAGGTACCTTTTTGTAGACGTCAAAAAAATGGAAGTCAACTGTAAATATTTAGTGCATTCTTTTATCTCTCTATTAAACAATCGTTTTCACAACATCTGTAAGCACAGCATTTAGTTTAGATAGCTAAAACTTGAAGCGGTTTTTTAATAAAATAAACAGGGTATTGTATACACTTCTCTGCAAAACCGGCCATATTTATTACAAGTATACATAAATCTCTTGTAATTTTTGTATGAAAGACAAATGACAGATGATAGGGACTATAATATATTGTATCAAAAAATTAAGAAATGAGTAAATTTCTGTCATCTTGATAAATCAGATCTGCGTAGAAAATCTTGGACGTGGTAAATCTCCAAATACCGTATCACTATTGACGCTTTTAGCTAAGGCTTTCATCGAAGCTCGAATGTTGTGCGGTTCGGTTGGCAACTGAAATTTTATATATATATATAATACACACGCAAGTTTACTTAAGAATGAAAATACTAATATATATTATATATATATATTTTTTTTTGAATCGAATAGGCATAAAAACTCAAAAATGAATGAAGATTTTACTTGTAATACAGTATACTGTAAAAATGAAAAATCATGTTTACCTGGTCATCATCTTGGTCTTGTACTGCACGATGAACTATGGAAGGAAAAACAGGCACGACGACAGGTAATGATTTAGCTAACGTAGAGTGACCATCCCGTTGACCTCTTGACATATGAATCTCTTCATTTTGACTCGAATCTGAATAAATTACGATATTAGACAGACTTGGATCTAAACAAAACATTGCAATACCAATATAATACGTTATACCATCCATATCAGATCCATCGGTATCTTCCGAAGAGTATAGAAGTTGTTGGCTGGTTGCGTCTGTATTCTCCATTTCTTCAAAAGGAAACAATACTTCTGTATCAAAGCTACTTGATTCCTTAGTACAAATGTACAATTGATCTCTTTTTCTCGAGCTTTTATTCTGTAATGTTTATTATCCAAAATTAATAATAATTATTAATGTTATGTAATTGTAACACAGTCTTGATATCCCTCTTTTTCTCTCTGCTTGGAAAAACTTTAATGGAGCAAAAGTAACTTACATTAATGGTGCTTTTAGAAGAGTGTCTGACGGTTGTCTCATGTTTAATGTTTGGGCCACTAGATACTTTTGTATCATTGGATATTATATTGGATTTTGAATTCTTTGTATTAGCTGCAGAGATAGTCAAGGTACTTTTAAAGCCGTCAGGAGTTGTTGGTGGAGTTTCTATATTACTGGTTGCTGTATTTGTCTCTTCTCCTTTACATACTAGTCTAATAATGAAAAAAAGAAGAGTTGAAATTATTATAATAGGAATTTCATGTACATATACATATTGCAAGATCATACTTTGATAACAGTCTATGTTCGTTGTGTGCTCTTTCACGAAATTGTTCCAACAATTGATGCTGCTCAGCAGTAAACACACGTATTTTATCTTCGATTGCCATTGTTTGACGTTGTACAGCTTCCTGTAGCTGTTGTTGTAATCCATCTAGAGCCACTTGAACCGTGTTAGGTAACTGTGAAACTAGATAAATAAAAAAAAATTAATGTAACAATGAAAACATATAGGCATCCACAATACACATACATAAACGAATTATTTTGAAAAACGACAAAACTGAAACTACATGTTAAAAATATTATACACACATTAACTTACCAGAAAATTTAGGCTGTTGCAGGTAATCATCGAGATCTTCCAAACTATGATTAATTACTACTCTAAACACCGGACTATAATCCGGATTGGCTTTTAATTTGTTTATTTCCTCAGGAGATAACTATAACAACATAATCATTTCATTTTATTAAACGAGATTATTTAGAAGTTAACAAGTCCAACATGAATGTATCTGACGTTTTCTTTTATGTAATTAATGTAAAAACAAATGTTGATCTGTAATTAATATCATATGCAGAGTCGTTCTTGACTTGAAAATCAGCTGCTTGTGTCAGATAAACTATTTTGCGCATAAATTATATGAAGTAATATTTGACAAACATCTTTGGAAAGGCAATGTATACATACCATTGATTCATTAGTTTATTATATATCAACAACAAGAATATAGGAAAAGCACATCAAGTAAGACAAATTATGCACATAGCAAATGCAAAGAGATAATTTTGATCAAGACCATTGCCTTCTGGAGGATTATGTAACTAATACATAAATAAATATCTCTTTTGTTTGACTCACAAGAATATTGTTATTAATAAGGACTAAAGCAGCACCATATTCCCTATGGACCGCATGAGTATACATTGAGCAATTGCAGCAACGGTGTACAATCCAAGATCCGACATTTCTTTTCTCCATTAAACCAGGTTGTTCTTTAGTAATCTTTTCCAATTCTGGTACACTCGCCAGATCCTGTCAAAGATGATATCGTTTGTTACAATTATACATAAATAATGTTGACGAAATTATTAAAAAAATGTATGCTTGTTCTACACATATCTTAATTACTTTTATACAAGTACAATTAACTATGACAGTGTAACACTCTTGCAGATATTATTTTGTCAAAATATCAAAAGAATCAATGTATAGCCTCTAAACAGATGTCAATCAATACTCGTCCATTGTTAATTCCACGCAAATAGAGCACTAGAGGAAATAAAGAGGAATTTAATTTAGAAAAATCGAGGAAAGTATAAAAAAGCGTGCTCGAAGATGAGCCAGCATGCATTGAATAATGTACGAAACGCGACGGTTGCAAGGTATGACACTTTAAGTGATATTTGTCACACTGCAAAAAAAAACATGGAATCGATATAATTGCAACGAGTTAGTAGGTATGTCAAATTGAGATTTATTCATAGAAATCGGTAGAAGAAGAGATGCATTTTCTCACGTCTTTACTACGTCTCTATATAAAAAGATAAAATTCCAATTATAAAATTCATACCGGTTTTAACTTTGCAGTAAAACAGATGCGTGGTGAGAGGAAGAGGATGAGACGGATGGCACAATGATGTGATCGAGGGCACTTTTCTTTTTTTATTCTCGAAAATTCAATTATATTCAGATCGTGGATTTTTCATAGGAAAAAGAAAGACAGAATAAGAAAAGCTTTTATTCACCTCGCGAAAAAAGGCATCGGCACGCTCCACGTCAGTCAATTCGACGTTAACTCGCTGTAATTCGGCGCTCCTGGACTTGATGGATACGTTCAGGCACTTGCAGGTGACATGCATCTTTCAGCGATCGGCAAACGATCGATTAAAGCAGATGGAGAAGTCAAAAATATGCGATCCAGCGTACGAGATCGCCAACTACGCACTTGGTTGCGTTGCACAGGTACAGTTTCGATCAATTTGATTCGGCTGCGCTCTCTCTCTCTCTCTCTCTCTCTCTCTCTCAAAATCCGCAACCCTGTCAATAAAACGATGACTATTATTGTGAGACGTTGTCTATCAACAAAGAAGGAGCATCGAGGTTTGTATATGGATCATATATGTCGTTTGCGATCAGATTAAGCAGATTGTCGAAGCAGTTATTTCTTTCAACTTGGCAAACCGTTCAACATTAAGTATGTTCTTCCGAAAGAGACATGCACGGCAAAGAACAAGAAAACGAACGGCGAGTGGCGCAACGTGAGTTGCTATTATCGTCATGCGATCGTTCGTATTCGTTTCGGAAAACGGTCGTTTTGCGAGCGATTAATATGTTGCACTGTGCGAAATGCGAATGTGCGAGCGAGCGGGAAAGAGAGAGAGAGAGAGAGAGAGAGAGAGAGAGAGAGAGAGAGAGAGAAACTTGAATCAGCTTGAATTCCTAACAGATAACTCTTGAGAGAGATCGTGACAGCTTTTTTTCTTGTTACCGCAAAATGCCCTTGCGCACTAACATCCTCTGAAGAAGTGGATGTAAACTACATAACGACATCTACTTTTCTGCACTGTGGGTATACATACAATTTGTGGTGCGTGTCTGTGCTAAAATCCACTTTTCTGCTGGAGCTTTATTCTCGAAAAATTACGTATTCGAAAGTAAATTTCTGTATTTTTGTATGTGAAATTTTTCAAGAATAAAACCCCAACTGCAGTCTCGAAAAGTGCAGGATTTAGCACGAACACCACTGCAAATTGTATACCCGTGGTGCAGAAAAGTGGATTTTGCTATGTAGTTTACTACGACTTCTCAAAGGGCGTTAGTACACACTACACACAAGGCTGGGCATTTTGCGATGCCGATAACAGGTAAAAGGCTGTCATGTTCTCTCAGGTTTCTCTGCTCTCTTGTATGTATGTACGTATCACAAAAACAAAATAAACTGTTTAACAAAAAAGAAAACTTATTTAACCAAAAATTAATAAAACTTATATAATCTCGTTCTATTACGCTCATAAAGATTAATTTATTTATACACATATATTACACATTCCAATATCAATAAAATATAGTGGCCATATTTGATTATTAATATCACTTATGTAACATATAAATATTACAATATACATATTATATTATGCATAGCAATATAAAATTGCCGGTGTATATATATCGCTGGCTCGCATAAAGAAATTAAAGAGATTAAAGAGACGCGGTTCGGTCTGGAGCATCCTCTTTAGCATCAATAAGTTATGACACGCGTCTCGTGTTATATACAAAATATTTCAATGAAAATTAATGTATCCAAAAATGTCGTATTATTCATTTGCACGGTTTTTTTATAAGTCATTTTGTTTCATTCGTTATATTCTGTTTTCAGCTTAGAAATTTCTTCCTTCCATTTAAAATATTCATTGAAACGTATTGCAGCATATCTGAAAAATCATGTGAAATAATTATTCATTATAATAATTGTCCAAAATATTTTGTTTTCATAACTCTCTAATAATTATATCATATAAAGATATTATTAGTTGTAGAATATTATTGCCATTATTTTATTTTTACTGTTATTACCTTCTACTATCATTAATTAATTTTTACATCAATAATGTAAATATTTTTTTTATCCACTAGCACTTAAGCACTTACTCCAAAAAATCAAAATCAATGTGTGAATGTTCGCTCTGAATGAGAGCCCAACAACCCCAGAAAAAATGTGGCAAGGGAGTAAATTTCATAACTTGCCAGTATAATTTGCCAACATCTTTCTCGGATACATTAGTCATTCCATTGTACACTTGCAAATATTCTTTCAACCATAATTTTTGGAAATTTGGATCCGGATACAGAGAATAATCCGGCTCGTCAAAACCTTAAATACAAGGCGTTTAAAACTTTAATATACTTAGTTGTTGGAGTTTATATACAATAAAAGGATGCATACACCCACACACATGCGCGCGCGCGCGCGCATGCATGCGCACACACGCAAAAATACATGTAAAGTATGTTTTCTAAGCTAAAATTTTTGAAGCATTAAATGCGTTATTACCGGCGAATTCTGTAAAGTGGTTAACTATATCAAACGCTTGATAGTTGAATGCAGTGTATTCATAATCGATAAAGACGACATTCTCCTGTTTTTTATTGTACAATATATTTCCTAGTAGAAGATCATTGTGAGCGAATACTATGGGACTATTCACTTTGGAAAGTGTACTTTTTAACATTTTATATTCTTTGTCCAATATTACATGGGATGGTATCAATCTTTCAAACCTTAAAATAAAAATTGTTACAACTATTTTGATATATCTTACAATTAGATAATATTCTGGAAAATCGCTATCTCTGATCGCTTACTTTGCTTGTTTGAGGGCATCGGAAAATGTTTTGGGCATAATTTGCATAAATTTCTTTGTCTTTTCCCAAATAAAAGCTTCTTTTGACACAGACTCATTTTCAGGCTCAAGATTATGCATTTCAGCCATACGTTTTGCAATTAATGGGTATACTTTCGTGTTCCTGACTGTTTCAGTGGTCAAAGTTTCACCTTCCAGAAATTCATAGGCAAACCCATTGTTAAATGTAGCATAAATGCAATGAGTATAGCCAGCCTTGTTCAATATCTATACAAAAATATTTATTCGATACATATTAGTTATCGTTACACTTAAAATTGGAATTTGCTTATATTTCTTTGTCTATTATATCATATAATGGCTATGTGTATGTGCACATTGATAAAAAATAAATGTATATAAATCATAACAGCTAAATTACAGCTAGTTACATATTGAAATATGAATAGAATGTCTGTGATGTCTAAAATCGAAAAAAATTTTTACCCGGATATTTCTTATTTCGCTTTTTCGGTCGATCAATAAATCCGAATTATTGCCATAAATTCTTATCAGGATCATATCTGTATAATGCCCTGAGTACCATACTCCTATTAACTTATTTGTTCTTCCATCGGTAAATACCTGAAATATAAGAAAAACTTTTTTCACAATTGTTTTGAACTGGTTTACATACCATTCAATAATTACAAAAACATTTCTATTATTTACATCAATATTTAAAATTGTATAAATATGTTGTGTATATAAGAAAAGGCTAAGACTGAAAGGCTATCTATATTTGTATTCCTTATTATTTATTAACAAAATTGATGATTAAAAACCATCCTAACCAATTGTTCCAAATTTACAAAAGAGTGAATAAATCAAATAAAATGAAAATATATTTAGATATGTATGAAGACATGAAAAATTCTGATAGATTCTATGAGAGGAATTGAAATTGTATTGCATATCGATAAAAGTAGAGATAAAAGTAAATATAAAAAAAAATTATCAGTAGATAAATTATATGATTGATATCTTAATGAGCGCTGTAAATAGATGACCTACTTTGCAAATGGGAAACAATAGATACAATATATGTGATTAAATTTTAAATCAATTATAGTTGTCGTCGCTTTTACATTATAAAAAAAAGAGTGACGAGTATGTATTACCTTGAAATGCAATTGTTGCCAAGGCCAGGATGGTCGAATTCTCTTAATAATATCTTTGGCACCAGCAATAATTTCATTTTCATCTATCGTAATATTAAGATGTTCCTCACATATGTTCATAGCTTAATGCTATTTTATAGAGAATATAAGCTTCTTATTGAAATATTACTTGAATTAAATAATAAAGACTATATAAAGTGCGGATAAAATTTGGATAGACTTGTAAAAAGAGACTTATTTAAATTTATTTTTAAGGATATAAATTAGATATACATAATGCATTTCTATTGGCAATTTTGCTACACCACAGATGAATGAAATATTATTGAACAAATATTACATATATACAAGAATACACAAAAGTAATATAAAAAAAAACACAACACCTAATCTTCACAAATGTTTAACGGCAACTAAAGGAGATCCGATATATGTCCGTATTACAATATATTACAGGCCGCGATAATATACTGATAAGCGAGTGTAGGTCAATTGATATAGTCAATTGGAGAAAATTGCGAAATACAGCCGATGTGCATCTGTGCATAATAAAGCAATTCCGCTTTAAGGATGACATTCTCCATCAGAGTACATGTAATTTATCTACGTACATAAATTTTAAATACTTGTCTGCTTTGTCAAACTGTTTTGGTAATTGTCTTCGAGATATAAATGCATAAGTTTTTTAAAACATTCGCTGTGCGTTGTCATGTAAGGTTAGCAATTGTACGGTTGTGGTTAACCCACGTAACATACGTCATCACATAATCGTTAACAATTATTCGATTTTTATATGCACACGTGTAACGTCACATTTCTTTTTGTTATTATTTTATTATTGGCTCCTGCCAGGGCTGCCAGAGAGAAGCATGAGAGCGACCATCCCGGCGTTTTTCGTAACACCGGTAAAAGTTTTGACCTCTCCGTACACTAGCGCCAATTGCTTCCACTTTTGAGATGGAACTACGTATATACATACCAACGACATATATATATAGACCGAGCATTCTGTCCACAGCATGAAGCCGAAAGTTGGCAGAATACGACTGAGAGAGATAGCATTTGCGGGGAATGCTGTCTCATTTTATCTTATAGTAAGATTGGTAAGATGGCCGATGTCAACAGCTGTCAATTGACACCAGCGTCATCTTACAGTAAGATAAAAGAGAGAGCATTCCCCTCAAATCGCACTATCTCTCTCAGTCGTATTCTGCCAACTTTCGGCTTCACCTCCTCCACATCAAAAGCATAGGAATGCTCGGTCTATTATATATGTCGTTGGTACATACACAACCAATGACAATATTAACAATGGCTGTGCACGTAGTTCCATCTCAAAAGTGGAAACAATTGGCGCTAGTGTATGGGAGAGGTCAAAACTTTTACCGGTGTTACGAAAAACGCCGCTCTCATGCTTCTCTCTAACTATATACTCAAAGGTGGGAACGCACCCTTAAGCCCGTATCAGACTTGAGAATTGAGATTGAGATTGGAATGGAATTTGATCAATCAAAACAAAGTTCATTAAATTTGAGATTGGTTTCCTTCCTTCTAATTGGTTAAATTTAATCTCAATCTCAATCTTTAGTCTGTTACGGGCTTTATTTACCGAATGTTAAACAAGGATAAAATGTTATCTAGATGCATCCGGGCGAAGTTTCTGAACGCAGCCCAATCAGTATGTATGTTACGTACGTACGTACGTACGTACGTATGTACACATACATATGGTATGCATACGTGAGAAGGTGTTGTATGTATTGTGTGTATACTCTACCTTAACCTTAATTATAATGCTCACGGCTCAGTGTATGTAATTGAAAAGTTTAAGCGTGTATACGAGTTCTAAGGATAATTATTTCAATAGCAAAGTGTTCGAATTGAATAAGACACTTTATCAAACTGCTTATCAGTCATTTGTAGCTATCTAAAACTTAAGCCAACGATGTCAAAAAAGACGGGGCTTAGTCAAAAGAATAATCAATCTACGATAGTGGGATTTTTGGCAAAGACAACGAATAAAAATATTCTGCAGACTAGGTAGGACAAATTTATTTTGTAGAAATATAAGAAACAAATCTCAATATATTTCAATTTTTGTGATTGATATAATGCATATACCTAGTTTATAATCCTTTTGAAAGTTAAATTACAGAGTAATTGAATATTTTTTAGTACATCAAAATTAATGACAGAAGAGGAAGCTGATTTAAATATAAAATTATCAAATCATTCGTGTTTTAATAAACAAAGGAGGATAGCTGGAGACTCAGTAACAATAGACACGATAATAAATCTTGTAAGATTACAATACTATTTGATAAAACTGTAGTGTTATCTTCAATTAATGCTCATGTATTTTATAAAAATTATGCAAAATTTATATTGTAATATTATTTATACAAAACATTAATAATCTATTACAAAACAACTTGATTTAAATATTTTAAACTGCAGGATAATTCAGACAGTTCAGACTCATTTAAAACCAGTCCATTTAAAACACGATTAAATACAGTTTGCTCTACAATGAACTCGTATCGTAAAAATCCAACAGAGAAAAAAGAGAGGACTGAAAAAGAATCAAAATTTTCAAACCTATTGCAAGAGAATAGCGATTATGTGAAAACTCGTGTTATTTCTGAATCTTCTGACAGCGAGGAAGATAAGAAAGGTGTTAGAAAATGTTTGCATTTAAATGAATATCCAAATAAAACAGAAATAGAAGAAGAAGACGAGAAAAGGCAAGTTGTCGTTTCACAAACTGATCATTACACTAAATGGAACAGTGAATATTTTCTTTCTAATAGTGCAACTGTGTTGGAGAAAAATAATGAAAAACTTCACGACGACAATGATAAAATGCCTAAAAATACAGAAGATAAGCATTTATGGACACCTAAAAAATGTAATACAGTATCCAATAAACAAGAGGAAAATACTACAATTTCAGATTCTGATATAGATAGCCCTAGCTTAAAGTATAATGGCAGCAGATTAGCGAGAAAACATTGGATTGGTCCTGATATTAGATTGAATCTGAAAGATTTAGGATTAAATAAACAGTTGGGTTCATGGATTGAATTCATTCAACAGAAACCTGTAATGTCCACAATACCTGTAAGTTTTTTTGATTTGATATTTTGTGTGCCTATATTAAGTATTCAAAGTACTTATATATATATATATATATATATATATCCTTTTCTCACTATTATATTTAGATTACAAAAGACAAGTTGCTTGAAAGGCGTCAAGATTTAAAGGAACTTCAACTTGAAATTCTTGACAAATTTTGTATCGCGCTCGAGTTAATTCCATTACCAGTACTGGAACAATTTCCAAAATTTGACACAGATTCTTTCAAAAAGTTGCAAGGTTTACATCGACATATAAAAGCTAAATTACGTTTAGTACAAACCAAGTTATCCAAATTAGAAAAAGAAGATGAAAAGAATGTATCCGAGTCTCCAGAAACACCTGGATCTGCATCATCAAAATCAATTGAAACACCAATTTCGTGCATGTTTGAGAGCCTCTTAACAAATGATTATGACAATTTTGATGCATCATGTATCTCGGTATCTAAAACGACAGACTTTTGTCAAACTTTATCAAATGTAATGGATTCATATACAACAAATGGAGTAAAGGAGTACGATATAACATCCAATAGGATGGAACCTGTGTCAACAGTTAAGTCACCTGAAATTACAGCTCCAAATAATAAGAAGAGTACTTTTCAATTGAAAAGACCTGTCAAAACAGTATTAGGCACTCAAGTTTCTAAAACAATAGCAGAAATGTGGGAAAAGGATCAACATATATCAAAGACAATGAATTCTTCAGTGGATTCTGATTGTGTCTTCGTTCGGAGGGATTCGTTTAATGACAGTATTCAAACGTCATTATGTAATGAAAAAAAAATATTTATGAATGAGCAAAGAGATGTTATCTTAGGTAGTCCAAATAACAAGATTAATACAAATAAAAGTACGGCAAGTACTTGTAACAAATTATTAATTTTTTCTATTTAGAAAGTCTCCTAATGAGAAAGTATTTTATAGGCACTCGTCAAAAATGTACTACAAAAGTTGGAACCTTGACACAAGAGTTGGAACAATTTCCACCTTTGGGAGAAAATTGTAATATAGATATAAGTGATGATTTGACAGGTATGAGTTTTGCACACACACGCACGCACACAATTTCTTTCACATTTTATTACATATTATGTTGATAATAATGTACGATAAGATGTTAAGTATGATAAATAATACTTACTTCAATTCTATTTATAGATTGGCCACAGAATAATATGGCACAAAACAGAAAGCACACTGATGATGAAGCAAAATCAAAATTTGAAAAAGATAACGTCGAATATGGAAAATTTACTGGTAATTATAAAAATGATGGTGTTAGTGGAGAATTTGATGGTTTAACATATTCACATTCACAAGAAATGTTAAAGGTACATGAAGTATTTAGTAATTTTTATTTTTTAGGAAAATATAATGTTATTATGCAATAATTTATACACAATCGGATTACATGTTACACCAGTGGTGAAAATATAATATTGCACATTAATTGCTTCTTAATTTTTTTTAGATATTTCGGCAGAGATTTGGTTTATATACTTTTAGGCCAAATCAATTGCAAGCTATTAATGCAACACTTTTGGGATTTGATTGCTTCGTTTTAATGCCGACTGGAGGTGGAAAATCCCTTTGTTATCAATTGCCTGCCCTTTTAAGTATTGGATTAACGGTCGTTATCTCACCATTGAAAAGTCTTATTTTAGACCAAGTACAAAAACTTACTTCACTTGATGTAAGAGAAACTATTATTATATATTAGATACGCATGATGCGTGCGTGCGTGCGAGAGAGAAATAACGTAATATAAAAATACATAATGAAAAGAATATGCAAAGAAACAGAAGAAAAAGAATACACATTACAGAAGCGTATTCGATAGTATATTATAGTATAATATATTCTATAGTTCTTGGTTTTAAATTTACAGATTCCTGCGACTCATTTATCCAGTTCCATAACAGATAATCAAGCAGAAGCAATATATAGGGAACTTTCTAAAAAAGAACCTGCTCTCAAAATATTATATGTAACACCAGAGAAAATCTCTGCCTCGCAAAAATTATGCAATACTCTGAGTATTTTGTACGAGAGAGAATTGTTGGCAAGATTCGTTATTGACGAAGCCCATTGCGTTAGTCAATGGGGTCATGATTTTAGACCAGATTATAAAAGATTAAGATGTCTGAGGAACAATTATCCCAAAGTGCCAACAATGGCCTTGACTGCAACAGCTACACCGCGTGTTAGAACAGATATTTTGCATCAATTGGGTCTGACTAATCCAAAATGGTATGTTGAGACCCACACACAATTTTGATTTGCTTGTGTATTCTATCTTAATAAATCAATGCTATATTTTTTTAGGTTTATGTCAAGTTTCAATAGACCTAATTTGAGATACAGTATAATATCGAAGAAAGGAAAAAATTGTTCTGATGAAGTTGTGGCTATGATAATGACAAAATTTAAAAATACTTGCGGAATCGTATATTGCTTATCGCGCAAGGATTGCGATGATTACGCTGCACATATGAAGAAAAATGGTATTAAAGCTTTGAGTTATCATGCAGGACTCACAGATGGTCAAAGAAGCACCTGTCAAGGAAAATGGATTTCCGATGAGGTATATTTATTATACTTAATATGTATACACAACAAACGATACATATATTTGCACGCACGTACAATATAATAATTATATCATGGAATGTAATTATAAAAGTATAAAATATTAATACGTGTGCGTACGTGTAGATACGTATTAATATTTATGTGTGTGCATTTTAATATTTTTACTATAATTATATATACTATATATTTACGATAATTTTCTCATGTATACACATTTTTTAGGTACATGTTATATGCGCGACTATAGCCTTTGGAATGGGCATTGATAAACCCAACGTGCGCTTTGTAATACATGCAGCCTTACCAAAGTCCATAGAAGGCTATTATCAAGAAAGTGGTCGCGCTGGTCGTGATGGTGAAATAGCAGATTGCATTCTATTTTATCATTATGCAGATATGCACAGAATCAGAAAAATGATTGAATTGGATAATCCAAATCCACAAGTCATTAGTACACACATGGATAATTTATTTAAAATGGTAGCATTTTGTGAAAATACTACAGATTGCCGTAGATCACTACAGCTTAATTATTTTGGAGAGATATTTGATAGGCAGCAATGTATCTCGAATAAAGTAACTGCGTGTGATAATTGTAGATGCAAGGTATGTCATATTAGATTAGGTAAATAATTATTACAGCAAAAAGCTATCTAAATGAAATTAGTAATTACTAATTAATAATTTTAGGGCGAGATTACTATGTTGGACGTTACTGAAGACGCAAAAGAGATTATGAAAGCTGTACGAGATATTAACAATACAAAAAAATGCAAACTTACATTAGTATTCTTGACAGATATATTTAAGGGTAGTGATCTGAAAAAGATTAGAGAATCAGGTTTATGCTCATTTTGTGTACATAATAATAAAAATAAACTAATATTTATATAATATAAAATAAAATACACCTAAATAATTCTTTTTACAGGTCTTACAAAACATCCTTTATATGGTCGCGGTAAATCGTGGAATAAAAGTGACATAGAACGCCTTTTGCATCATATGGTATTGCAAGAGTATTTACAAGAAAATATGTATATTAATAATGAAATTGCTTGTGCATACGTAAAAATTGGACCAAAAGCGAGTGAACTTATGACAAAAAAAGATGTAAAGGTATTTATTCTTTAATAGAATACCCAAAATGCAAAATGTATAATCAAATAAGTTTACAGTTAGTATCTTGAATATCTTAGATATAATAATATTCATGTTAGAACATACATATAGGATTAATCTTAATTTTTGTTTTTAGTTTTACATTATGTGTTGTATCATCTTGTTTTATGTATTTTCCTAAATAGATACAAATCCCAACGCGACAATCGAATAAATCTACAAGTGGTGTGGCTACAGTTTCAACAGTTACAAAGCAAGTCGATGGTATTATAAAAGAATTGCAAGATCGTTGCTATACCGAGTTAATGACGATAATAAGGGGAATCGCCGGTGCATTGGATGTTTCTGCTTCTTCTATTATGAATATGGTAGCTGTCAGAGCTATGAGCCAGCGTTTACCAGAAACTGAGGAAACTATGCTACAAATACCACACGTCACTAAAGCTAACTTTGTTAAATATGGCAAAGCTCTTTTAAGCATTACGCAGAAATACGCGGCAGAAAAAACTGGTATGATAGTCGCATATGATAGAGAATCTGATGATATTAAGTCTTTTATATTATCTTATTATTGATTATTCCATTTTTTTTCTTCTAGTATTGTTAAATGAAAATAATGAAGAACAGAATAGTGATGATAATGATAATACCTGGGATGACGATAATTCCAATTACTCTTACAGTAGTAGTACTACTAGCAATCGTGGCAAGAAACGAAAGATCAGCAATAGATCTAACAGTACTAATAAAAAATATAAACGGGGTGGCTCTAGGTAATGTAAAAAGTGCGTGCGTGCGTGCGTGTCATCTCTCTTGACACACGTACACAACGCGCGAATGCAAACATGACGGTTATATGCTCGTAAAAAACGCGCGCGCATGCGTATATATTTTATTAAGAACATATTAACCACACACATAGATTTTATATAGGACTATATATTTTTATATTCGCTCATTTACAGTGCATGGAGGGGAAAAGGTTCGTCGAGAGGTTCATCGAAAAGTTCAACAAAATGTAACACAACTACAAAAAAGGTAGTAGGACTTGCAAGTTTCAGTCAAACAAAACAATATCTGGCAAATCCTAACAGATACATGAACATTGCTTAATCAATTGTTTTTTTCCGTTCATAATAATTTATTTACGCTACGATATTTGCAATGTGCACACAATGTAAACACAATCCCTGTACGTATCTTAGGATACATATGTGGCATCTGAAATTCTCTATATGGCGTTTTAGTCATCATTTCATTTTACCGAATGTGTGAAACAATTTGATGAACATTGCAAAATTATATCATATTGTATTCTAAGTAGTCACCAGACACGTATGTGAAATAAAACTTTTTGTAATAAAACATTTTTTGAGACAAATGAGATTTCGTTAATCATTATTTGCACACAAATTAAATATCAGACTCTATCATTGTCTGATCAATCAATTAAAATGAATATATAAGCAATAACTTAAGATTTGTTGATAATGCTTTCAATTTTTTAATGCATCATAATATGTAAGTTTATATCAGATTATTATATTGCTACATGTTCTGTAATATTCTATTTTTGCTACGTAATATATATTATTTACAGATCTGGTTGCATTATCCTAGCTTGTCGATCTTCATTTTGAATATGTTTTTTCAACAAGTCCATCACTTCATTATCAAATTCAGGTGGAGTTGGTTTAACACCAGTCGCCCAGTAGAATATGTCCCAATCATTGGATGGTAAATTTATAAGTTGATCATATAATCTTAATTGTTTATCATCAAACGTATTCAAATATTTGTTTGCGAAAATACTAAGAAGCAGACCATTCTCCAACATCCCACGTTTACGAGATTGATATGTCAATCTAAAATGATAATGAATACAATAAATCCTATCGCACACATATATAATTGCAAATATAATGAAAAATTTTATTTGCAAACTGATAGATCAATGTCCGCATAAATGATGATATTAATTGACAAAGTTATGATTAAAACTCAATTTAACTATGTTACAATTGTACTTGATTATTTTACAGATTGTAAAAGATACGATATTATATATAATATATTGTATATATATACACACACACACGCAGACAAGACCTTGGAAAAAAGTATGTCAATACTTTTGATTAACGGTGAAATTGATTATTCGTTATTTTTAAAGAAAATTTTGAACGATACCGTGCTCTTTTGAGATTTGCATTTTCTCCTTCACGTTCCACATAACGTGGAATGCCGGGTTCCCGACCTTCTGGATGAATCAAATCTTGGAAATCATCTTTCCGCCTATAACAACTTACCGACACATCTCTCGTAAGCACAAACGGTTTGAGCTGAAGCATTATTTTTGTGTGTGTTGTCATTATATACTTTCTTTATCCCCCGGATCCCCCCCGTTTGCTTAGGATGCTTTCCATTTACAAATTTACAATTAGTGTGACACAAGTCGACAGTGTCAACACAAACGTCAATTTATTCTTCTTTTCTTGGCTTTATTATTCAATGAGTAACACGGAAAGAACGATACTTGTGTCACTAAATGGAAAGCACGCTTATTTAATAACTTGTAAACTTACGCGTGATGTGACACGGTTGATATTGTACATAATATTCATTATTGAATTGAATTTTTCGTGTAAAACAACATAACCTTGTAACCTAGGGCAGAACGCATAGACATGAGCCTATATAAGAAGAGACTCGCCAACTCATTACTGACACTGGCCCAGTCAGCACGCCGGTCAGGCTCTGATTGGCTGGGGATATCAGCAGGTATGCCGTATGGATCGCACAATATCAATCAAAATAGGGTATTGGCTGGCTTCTGGAGCACAACTGTGTCCTGCGATTTGTACAAGCCAATCAGAGTTCACTGCAAGTAGGCGAGAGAGTGGCGAGTCTCTAATAGGGAGATTGCATTGCATAATGCATGATAATGCATACCGCGGCCACCGCGGGCTCTTCGTCAGCTGAATCGGCTGAATCAGCTCACGATCAGCTGTCGATGATAAGCCGACTCGCGATCGAATTTGACGTGTGCCAAACGTGCCAAAAATCTTGAAAGTCACAACGATGATAGTCGATCTGACAACGAATCCGAAATTATCGTCGTGATCTGATGGCACACGATAACGAAGTATGCAGCTATCGTTACCGTTTTTACAGCCACCAAAGGCACCGAGTAAACAAGTTAAACAACGGTAAAACGGTCACATTTATATATTCCACCTAGGTATCCCAAAACGGGCATCGAGCATAAAAAGTCCAACGTTGTCCAAAAGGATGTTACCGTGGTTATCGAGACATACAAGTTCGTTTGCATCATCCGTACCCGATGTCGTCAGTGACACGTTTAGCTCGTACTACGTGTCACTTGAAAGTAAGGCATGATCACCATTGGGATATGCTCGAGAACCTTCTCAAGATTCAATTACTTCGAATCTTTAACACCTATGATAACGAGCTTTTTAAACCGGATGTGTAATATGACTTGATTGTTATTGACTCGTTTCAGGCCACGAATGAGAAAGTTGTGGACTACAGTAAAAGCATGCATGTATGTGCATTCTTGCTCTCTCTTTTTCTTTTTTTCTCTTTCCTTCTTTTTCTTTTGCGTCAAATCTTTATCTCTGTCCTATGTAATATACTATAAAAATCATTTTTTCTTGCAGATGGAATATAAAAAGAATTGTTATATGTCCCAAGTATATTCTTCTAGACTTTAAACAATATCCAAGGTCGTGCATACATTTACAGATATAAAAATTGAATAAATAAAAAAAAATGATAGTATTGTTCTCGAGTTAGCTGACAAGCTTGTAACGAATACCAGGTGAGAGAGAGAGAGAGAGAGAGAGAGAGAGAGAAACTTTTGTAATAATTTTAAAGGGAGGAAAAGGTGTAATTTTTTTAGAAAGAAAGAAATAAATATAAATATGTGTATGTGTGTGTGTGTGTGTAGTATATCTATAGATACTATTTATGGTTTTGTTTTTATATAGACTGCTTTGTTACAATGGATATTGGCGTTGTCAAAATTGCAGAAGATAAAGATTTTGAAAAATTGAAGCAGCTGTATGACGATAATAACAACTGGAAATTAGATTATAACAAGCCTGATCTATCTGTTTGGACAAAATCCGTCCCAGGAATTAGTTTTAAAATGGTGAAAGTAAGTTTTTTATCATGAAATGAATTTTGCTTCCAGCGAGATTGAATCACTTAAGTAGTGTCTACAATGAGAATTTAAGATTTAAAAGATTAATCAATCATACTTGATTATTTTTCTTATTTTAGACTGATTAATCAATTTTTTAAATCTTAAAGTCTTATTGTAGACACTATTTTAATGATACAGATCAGAACGCGTTTCCCCGATGTTTCACCAGAAACACTGTACGACGTTTTACATGATCCTGAATATAGAAAAATTTGGGACACTCATATGATTGAATCAAAAGACATAGGATTTTTTAATCCAAACAATGATATTGGATATTATTCCAGTAAGTATTTCGCGTTATTTATGAATCTGAGTTTTTATTTTATTATCGGGTATCTTGCTTTATTACAATACATATATGCTTTACCGTACAAATTTGTACAAATTTTAGTGGCATGTCCATCCCCATTAAAAAATAGAGACTTTGTCCTACAACGATCTTGGTTAGATACTGGAATAGAGCAGTTGATATTGAATCATTCCGTTTATCATAAAGATTATCCGCCTAGGAAACATTTCGTACGAGCAACATCTTACCTCACAGGTAAAATATTAGGAAGCAAGTTGAAATGCGTCCTCTATGTATGCATAAATATATATTTATTGTGCCTTGTCGACTCAGTGTGTGTGTGTGTGTGTGTGTGTGTGTGCGTGCGTGCGTGCGTGTGTGTGTGCGTGCGTGTGTGTGTGCGTGTGTGTGTGCGTGCGTGTGTGCGTGCGTGTGTGCGTGCGTGTGTGCGTGCGTGCGTGTGCGCGCGCGTGTGCGTGTGCGTGTGCTTGTGTGTACACACATAATATTGTACATTATACTTACTCTTTCATATATTCAAAAGTATTGTTATATTTAAGGATATATTGTAAGGCCTTCGCGCAATGGAGACGGTTCTGAGTTGGGTTATGTATCGCACACAGACCCACATGGCAAATTACCTGTGTGGCTCGTTAATAAAGTTACACAAATATTTGCTCCTAAAGTGAGATATTTTGTGAAGAATATTATAACAATATTAAGTATCAAACAAATGTAATATTTGCTTATGAAGCTATACTTTGTAGATGGTAAAAAGATTACATAAAGCTTCTGTGGGTTACCCAAGCTGGAAATTACTTAATAATCCAAATTATAAGCCTTGGCATTATCCCGAACAGATAATGGCACCTAGAATACGTATCGAAGAAGTAAGGAATAGTTTATTTTTGTTGAGTATTTTGTGTGTGTGTGTTAGCTAATTTTACATGCCTTATTATATCTTCATCATACATCTAGATCTATACATTCATTAGTAGTAATTTCGTTTTTCTTTTTTAAATAAAATTTTGACTTTCAGTATCGTATATCTGTATATACATAGTATTTGACGTATATCTATATATTTATGACAATATTTTACTCGCGGCGGTAATATTAAGTAAAGAGATCTTGTTCTTCTTTTGCATTAAATCAAATATAACTTTTCAAAAGCCAATTTTCTATGATATGTATGAAAACTTGATTTCTACAATTGTGTGCTATTAATTCGTTTCAGTGCATAAAATCTGCAGAAGAGAAGAATTTAAAATATAATTATGTAGACGAATCTGATTTGAAGGAAAGTTTGGTTAAAGAATCTGCCGCAATGGATAGTGATTAATTCACAACGATACAAATAGAGAAACGTGAAGATTTTTAGGTAAGTAGGATAATAGTGACTAGAATAATAAAAATGGTATGTAATGAAAAGTTCTAATTACAGTATTAAACGCAAGTAAAACGTAACGGATTTGTACAATTATAAAGTTCGATTTGCATTTCTTACATGATAGATTCTAATTATACATATAATATATTTAACATATGTACAATATTAAAATATTAAAATCATGGTTACATATTCAGTTATACGTAAACTCGCCTTATGTGCGAACGTATGACTGTATATAAATGTAAGAATCACACTATCGGTGGCCTGCTTTGTAATTAGGCATTAATTTCAACCTAAGTTGTTGGTATTATTAAAAGGGCGCAAATATAAGTTTAAATATACATACATGCAGACACACTAATTGTAAAACAATGCTGCACTATATGGAAGGTATACTTAAAACATTGAAATTTATATCATAGGGCGTACGTGCGCATACGTGTACACGTATGTATCATGAAATTCCCTGCACCTGATCTATCTTCTATATTTTGCACATTGTACACGTCATTGTTATTTATTATACTAAAGCTTAATATATACGAAGTAATTACAACTTTTTGTAGCATCGAAGAATATAACGAGTAGTTGATAACAAGTTTTCAAATGATTTGAGAAAAGTAAAAAGAATCACCTAAAATTACCATTTCAAAGTAAAAAGGACGTTGTCAAAAAAAAAAAAAAAAAACTTCTACCCC